TGTAGCAAGGTATTCAGAGATGTGGTATTTTGTCAACCTCAGAAATTCTTGTAGGTTTATTTGAATAGATTATCTGAACACATTTCAGTCTGGTTTTAAGACAAGATATGGTAACAAAGCAGATTCAGTTGCTCTAGTTGATGTCTGTCTTTTGGGTGAACCATGGGGGAGTACTACCCCATTGATTCTTCTAAATCTCTGGGGTTTCATCTCATCCACCCATGCAATTTCACATCTACATGAAAGCACTGGATGACGTTATTGGAATATTAGGGGATGAATACTATCAGTATGTTGACAATCGCTCAGCTCTGTTTCTCCTTCTCATGATAGGTAGGATTGTGTTGGAGCAAATTCTAGAGGCTGAAATAGGAATGCAGTAAACTGAAGCACAGCTATAATAAGATTGATGTTGTGCCACACAGTAATCACAGCTTGCTCACACTCTAAGTATCATGGCTCCATCCTGTGGCATCTGCGATTTGTATTTTGGGAAGATATTGAATATTATGTATTAGAGAGCTCTCCAAATAGAATTCACCCAGTTGGAAGCCTACCTCTTAGAATTTTTGAATGTTTTAAAAACTTCCCTGCCTATGAGCTGGCATTCACACTGAATCAGAACCACATATGGATAAAGAGGCGGGTTTACAAATTTTAAGTTCATGTCAGGAACAAATTGAGCAGAGGAGTGATGAATCAGGCAACTATTCTGTATTCCCACTACTCAATGATTCCCATGTAATTGTGTTCAAGGACACATCGATCTTCTAATGGGAGAAGACATCCTCTTAGAAATTCTGAGCTATTTGGGGCCTACAAATTTCAGAACTGTATAGGATTAAGCCATTACACTGATATCAAACTGATAACTCTGTAATGTAGAGTTTCCTGTAAGTATGGCTTGATGTGGAATTTGGCAGAATGGGCTGAAATTGTGGGTTTGTTCTTATGTAAGAGAAAGTCTTCCACTTATCTTAGGACCTCTTCAGATGCAACGTATCTGTTTTCTGCAGATAGAATCATGGTCTTTTTTTGTTCTTCATAGAAAATTCTGTACTTCAGGTACAGAAAATTTTATAAATATACTTTCTTAGTTCCTTCTGAATGTATGAATTTCATAGTCTACACAAAAAAGCAGATGACATTCTTCTTACTAACTGGGATATCAAATACCACTGAATTTGATTGAATGCCTGCACTTCACATTATGTAAATATTCCACTGCTCAGGAAAATATCAATGCACAGTTACAGGAGAGTGGTTGAAGTGGGATTTGGTAAATGCATTCGCATTGTCTGTTTCCTTAATCTTCTACTTAAACTTCAGCCCTTGCTTAATAGCATTTAGTTCTAGTTTGTGTTCAGACAAATCTCCTCAAAATGCACTTTTACATCAAACAATGCCTATTGGGAATTCATTTCCTTTTTCTGAACTCCACCAATTAGCTGTGATGTAATTGTACAGTGACTTCACACAAAGACATGCTTCCAAACAACTAGAAGTCCTAAAATAATAATCTGGTACCTGAAATGACACAATAAGGGGGGGGGGGGGGGGACACAAGAATCGACTAAGTCATGAAGCTGATAACAAATGTAGCAATCTGATTGACTGACAAATCAGTGAGAGAATTGCAGATCACTTTGATATAGTGGGAAGTTATAAAATCCATAAAAATGGCTTTATTACATCAACAAAATAATGAGCAGGCTTCCAGACCAATCAGAACTATTAATAAGTCTAGATGTAAAGTGGGTGGAGGTGAGGTTTGAAACATCAAGTCTGGTCTAGTAATTACCTTAAAAGAAAATATGTGACGAAGAGCTGGAGAATTGTTTGTTCAAAGAAATATGGTTGATGCTTCTTTCCAAAGCACACACTAGCAAGTTTTTGTTCAATGTACTTACTGAAAGCTTTAAAAACCATATTGAATCAAAAGACCCTCTAATGTAGCTTCCCCAGCTTCGAGTCTCTCTGTTCTGCAGTTTATTGATAAACTAGTATGGACAGTGGTCAGATATGATGGGAGTTATGGATCCAAGTTGGAGAAGGCTAATCCAATAATGTAAAAAATTGAGAAAGTTTTAAAAACCTGAAAGTTTCCCACCAAAACAGTGTATTTGGATCTATGATATTAATTGGACTGCTGTTTAAGTAGCATAGGGCCCTTCCACACAGCCCTATATCCCAGAATATCAAGGCAGAAAATCCCACATTATCTGAGTGTGGACTCAAGATAACCCAGTTCAAAGCAAATACTGTAGGATTTTCTGCCTTGATATTCGGGGATATAGGGCTGTGTGGAAGGACTCTTAGTGTCTTTGAAAACACTTGTCCAGATGGCTGAAGATACTAAATTATTCAAGATTATGAAATCCAAAAGCAAGCTTGAAGGAACTACTGACCATCTCTCCAAACTAAGTGATTACGCAAGAAAATGACAGGGGAAATTTAGTGTAAAAAAGTACAATGTAAATTGCCAATTGGAGCAAGAATTCTTAACCTGATTTTGATGAAGGCAGTAACAGACCAAAAGATCTTGTGGAAATAGTGGTTAGCTTCATGAAATTCTTGACTAAAGCACTGCAGCTGAAGGAGCTGGTTTCTCAGTACAAGTTCTAGGAAGGAAAATTAAATGGCAATTTTAAAAAGTCATTGTAGAAATCTTTGGTACTTCCATATCTGGAATGCCAAGATATTTGGGACTTATGAACATTACAAAAGTCCAGCTCTCTTCAGCTGAAGTGAGCAAGGCAAATGGTTAAACATGATGAATATTAATAATAAATGACACTGAAACCACAACAATGTCTTTGCAGCCTAAGAGTAGCTTTACGTTAAGAACAAATCTTGAGTTAAAGGTTACCAGGTGAAATAAAAGACAGGGATCCTGTCCCTTTAAGTGCTGTGTAGAGAATTTTAGCAGGTGTGGGATGTCATGCAAGCTATGCCTGCTGACATCCCCTCTTGTATACAATCATTGAAGAGAAATGTGTTTTGCCCTTATTTCACCTGGCAACCCTTCTTGCATTTTATACCAAAGGAGAATCAGGCAATCTTTACTGGAGATTCAAAGAAAAGTGTCTGTGTGGCCCCCCCCCCCCCCCCCCCAAGATACAAACTGAACAAAATTAAACAGTCATTTGTATCTTAACTTTACTTGTCTATTAAAAAGAGTGTTTTATTCAGTAATTGCTGTAGTCTCCAAACGTGAGTATAAAACACTAAAAAGATAACGTTACATTTATAACAATGGCCCAAGAGAGTATCTAAAAGAACACTAAAAGAGTCGATTATTGCAGACAAAACTAAAAATTCTGTTTCAAATCATTGCAGCCGATAGTCTCCAGGAAGGATAATGCTTGAGATCAAAACAAGAGTAAATTAAATGGCCGTGATACGAATAGAATTCTGCCCACTCAATACCTCCACAGATTTGAGTTTAGAGGACTAACCAAAAAGTGAGAGTAAGATTTTACATGGATTATAGATAATATCCTCACTCTGGCAGAGATCCAGGATTGCATGCTTGAGAGACAACATTCTTTATCATCCACATTTGGCTTACAGATGGAACTGTCAACATGGGACCATATGTGTAGACCCAACAAGCTGGTGTGGCTGATATTGAAAGTAATGATGTTGTCACTTGAGTGGAAATTACACATCGAAATAACTTGGAATGAAACTGTGGGGAAAGTGTGTTAAGTGCCCATGACACCATTTTAATGACACATTACTGAAGGCCAAATATGTGTGATAAACTATTTATGGGTCAGTTCAGACAAATCGTAACATGACTATTTAGATGACGTTAGGAGGAGTGAGAAGATGTTGCTTTCTACCATATAACTTGGTGTGGTCTATACAGATTAGTAGCACCTCTAAGCATTTCAGATATACAGAGATATGAGTGAGTAAATCTGGAAAAAGGCATGTTCTGAGATATTTTCCCAACTTTACATTTATTTGGGGTAATAAAGTAGGGATGTGGGTATCTGCATTCTCTACACATGGATGGATTGCTACTTCTTCAGCTGTTTCTATGCCTGGGTGGGACTAGCTGGAATTCAACAGATTAAGTTCAGTCACAGATCACCCAGCCCTGTCACATTGACGCAGGAACATGCAGAGTCAGTCCTCTGTATCCATGACTTGAAAATATTCCAAAAAGCAAAGCTTGATGTTACCGTTTTATTTAAGGGGGACCCACTGCAACACCATGACCTCATCAGATCAATAGTTACATGGAAATCAAATGATTCTGAATATCTATACTCTTTGATAGTAGTGTCAGGAGTGACTTGAGAAACTGCAAGTCGCTTCTGGTGTGAGAGAATTGGCCATCTGCAAGGATGTTGCCCAGGGGACGCCCGGATGTTTGATGTTTTTATCATCCTTGTGGGAGGCTTCTCTCGTGTCCCCGCATGAGGAGCTGGAGCTGATAGAGGGAGCTCATCCGCCTCTCCCCGGATTCGAACCTGCGACCTGTCGGTCTTCAGTCCTGCCGGCACAGGGGTTTAACCCACTGCACCACCAGGGGCTCCGGAGTGAGCAGGTGAAAAAGCCTAAAGAATTCCTAGCCTTGTCTGGAAGTGATCTGTTAGTTTCACACTGAGTTCACAGGATCTGCTACAACAAAACCTGTAGCCAAATTAAGTACTAATAACATTCCCAGTATCTCCTCTTTCTCTGTTTTCCCTGTGCCATAATTACGTTTTACGCCCCATAAAGCAGGAATTTATTCTCTCAAAAACCTCCATGAACACTGAGGAAGATTAAAATAAATAAACAGAAGCAGAAAATAATAAAAGTTCTAGTATAACTGTTTTAGCAATGCAAAAAAGGCCTTTCTCATTTTCTCTAAGTCTAGCGTTTATACATTTTCAAATCTTGATATTAAAATATGCAGAAATGGAAAAATATATACTCTCCAATGGTAATTTCTTTAAAAAAAATGGATGATACCAATCAAATATAAAAACACAAAGCAGGGACACAGTAGAGCATGGTGGCTTTTATTGATGGTAATATTAACAGTGGGGTTTTTGTATGTAAAAAGTTTAGCATCATGAAACTAAAAAAAATGTCTCTGGTGGAATATATTTTGTCCTTCCTGCTTTTATCAGCCTTTGTTGTCAAGTGCCATCCTTCAGGCGAAGTGAGACATCTTGAGCACTGAAGAGAGCATCAAGAGGCTTTGCCACAACAAACACCTGAAGTGAGGAAAAAGAGAACAACATGAAGATCCTCATTTGCACTCCATCTGTTATCAATCACACACACAATCTGTTGACCACAAAACAGAAAGCAGACAATTGTTACATCTATTGTCAATCAACATTTGCATGTATCATATGGAAAACACTTGGTGAAGCAGACACTAGGATTTTTTGAATCTATTATATAAAGAAGCCAGTGTGTTTTTATGTGATTGAGTCTGTATTAGGATGGATGGGAATGCGACCCTATAGATGTTATTACACTATAATACCCAACATCCTTGCCTACTGGTTATTTTGTGATGGGAGAATGCAATTCTACTACATCTGGAAAATGCATGATTCCCACACTTGGCATGCACACAACATTGGTTGCAACTCTCTAGTAAATAATATCTCTCTTGTAATAAGCTAAAACTTTTTTTTTAATTTATAAAACTCATATTCTATAGATTGCAAGCACTTGTTAAGAAACATGGAGAGGAGAAAGAACCTGAAAAAAATGGCACCCAAGGTGGCTGTTCCTTATTATATAGAGCAGTGTTTCTCAAACTGTGCTCCTCCAGGTGCTTTGGACTCCAGCTCCCAGAAATCCCAGCCATCTTACCTGCTGTTAGGAATTGTGGGAGCTGAACTCCAAAACATCTGGGGGAGCACAGTTTGAGAAACACTGAAATAGAGGAATCATCAGAGCCATTTATGCTACAAGTTACAAACCTCAGCAGCTTCATGAAGCCAGTCGTTCAACTAGTCTGCTCCACCTGACTTGTATGTTAACTGAACTAGCAATGTAAAATTATTAATAATGATGATGATGATGGTAATAATAATAATAATAAAGCATTACTTGTTTAAACATGTTCAATGCAACCAAACTTCGCTAGCCAACCACAAAAAATATGTCATCCCTTTCTTATGGGTGATGTTTCCTAGTCTAGTGTTTATGGCATTGAATGTTTGCCGATAGTTGTTGTGAACAGTCCTGAGTTCCCTTGGGGAGATAGGGCAGGATATAAATAAAGTATTACTATTATTATTGCTCTATGTTCTTCTACAAGGAGATTGCTTTTGCTCATATTGTTCTTACCTCTTTCAATGTGCATAGTTGTTCAGTATCTCCCTCATGAAGCTGGCACTTAAGTGTTTTTTCAAACCCAATCATAGGCAAAAATCATGTTGCCTTCAGTATTTGATTTAAGATTGCATGTATACAGTTACATTTCATACACAGTACATTTCTGTACTGTTTTTGGAAGAATATGCCTAGGAGCCAAAGCTATATTCAAATTATTAGAATTAGCAAAACCATAATATAACCTCAAATGCCACTGTTAGTGTACTATGTTCTTGTGCTTAAGCTTCCAATTTGCAGAAAAACCAGTTATGCATCTTTAATTTTTTTTCAAGAAACAATTGAAAGAAAATATTGATCATTTATTTTTAAGAGAAGTACTGAATACTGCCAAGGGCAATTGATATTCTAACCAGAGAAAACAAAGGGAAAACAAGAGGATACAAGTCAAGAAATGTAACACCATCCTATGCTGGCGCTGTCTGGTAAATTCTTTATGTGATCAGCCCTTAGAATGCTACAAATGGATTTTAATTGTGGCAATGCAACTAATTTTCAATGATGGGGTTGAACTCCACATGAATACTATATGAAGCGGATTAATGTAACACCACAATAATGCTGCCACAAATGAACCGTACTCACATAAGGCATCTTGCCAGCCATCTGTTGAAATCCCGAAGTCTTACTATGAGACTGTGAAAGAGGCACAGCGACGAAATACAAAAAATGATAGACAAATGCTGCTAATAAAGTCATTTATTGAGAAACAAAAGTGATATTTCCCTTAAAAATGAATTCCAATTGCCTATTTCAGTCTGTTGTCTTTTCCAGCATTGTACAGTATAATATATTTCTGAAACTTATAGAAGAAAGCGGAGGGGAAAGGTGTTAAAATTGCCCCACTCTTGTGTCTGTAGTGTGCGGGACAAGACAGCACTACTATCTCTGAACATATTGAAGTTTTTGTCTTATGCTATACATACAATCCTGAACCCACATAATTTATTGTGGTGGAAAGAAGCCTTAGACTAAAAATATGAGGGTAAAAAGATGAAGAGAAATTGCAGCATTCCTAAAAGAGTTTTCCACTTCTTTTTAACTGAGGAGTATGCAAAGCCACCACTTTGAGGTTATATATGGAGATGGAAGAAATTTTCAAATATATTTGACAAAAAAATGTTGGAAAATATGTTTTTCAATTTTTGAACAAATCCTGATAAGAAGAATCCTGAATTGATTAAGGTCTTTGACAATAAATAGTCACATAAGAATTCGGCACGCGATGTTTTCTGAGTTGATGAAAACCTTCAAGATCCAGGACACATTTTATGGAAAAAATCACATTTGAAATTTTGCATGCAACAAAAGCATTTTCTGTAGAGAACAGAAATATTATTTTCTACACAGAAAATGTGCATATGTGGACTTATTTTGAGAAAAATTAACACCTGATTGCTTTTAGCAGAAAACAGTATTTCTCGTGTAGGAAGCAGTGTTTTGCACATTAAAACATTAGTGTTTCCTGTGCAAAAAATGTTATTTCCCACACAAAATGCGTGTGAATTTTGCAGAAGCTGAGTTCCTAAGTCCAAGTAATAATTTTAAAATCCAGTCTAACAACTATCTCAAAATAAGGAGAAAAGTGATAAGGAATTCTCATTTCCTCCTTTGACAAGAAAAGTAGTGAAGAATTCTAAACCAAATCCACAGATTTACTTTATTCATTCTTAATTTTAAAGTCATATCTTGTTTTCTCAAATATTTGTAGTCTACACTGTCTAAAATAAGAAATAAGCTGCCCTAAAATTGATTCTGTTATTGCTTCTTATTGACAAATCTGTGGTGGTCAACTTTTTGGAAAGCATGCCTCAAGGCATTTATACCACAGAAGATATAATGCCCATTTGTGCCTTGGTTTTCTCTCCTGTCTGCTGAAAAGTGAAAAAATGCAAACCTGATTATTATGTCAAACAGGTTAGCAATCTTATGATTCCTATCACAATATATCACAGACTCTTACTACGTTTCCCATTTATGTCATTCACGTGGCCTATTGACCTTATATGTTATGGAAAATATTGGTCTTTGTAAAAACTTAAGACAGCCTTTTTCCGAGTCTGTCTGTATAGGTAATACATTTTAAACTGTCATAATTGTAGCCCCATTCATTTAGGTTTCTAGATAAATATGAACATCAAGCAAGTTCCAAAGAAGACCAAGAAATTATTAATTTTATTGTAGAAAATTACAAAATAATTTCAGAATAATTCTCACAACAAATATCAAAACCTTTCATTTTTTAAAAAGCTCCTAATCACTATTTTACCTTTTATCAGTTCCTTGCTCTTGGAGGTTGATAAAATTGTTGAGTCGGCCGTGTTGATCGCCGAGGTTGTCCATCTCCACCTCTGCGGAATTCTAAAGTTTGTTCATAACCCATTTCTTCCTCATCCTGTAGATAAAACAGATGACTCAGACATGAGCATTGTCAAAATTATCTATCTATTGTCCATATCAAAGCTTTTAAACTGTGGGATCAAGTCACTAAATGTGGAGGGTCATGAAACATTTTGCAACAGCAAAAAAATTCTGAACATTCAATGACAAAAACGATTTGTGTTTTAGACATTTACATGAAACTGTTAGCCACAATGTGCAGTGTGTACAGCTGCATTTCGTAAAAAGGGAAAGTCATGCCTTGTTTAGCAAGTTTTGCAAATACTGATTTTGTTTGATAGCTATCATTTTTGTTTCTGAAATATTTGCGTTTCAAATTTTGATTATAAAAAAAAATAAGTTGGGTTTATAAACCATACTCAACTGAAATAAAAAAAAGTCTGTCATCTGCCATTAAAAGTTCAAGAAGAATTTGCTAAGTTATCAAATGACACAGGTTTAAAACTATAGTTTACTAAGAAATCATTAAATGATATTCCTCTTGGGATTTTGAGAGAATTTCCAGTAATTTCTGAAATAGTCCTAAACATATTACTGCCATTTTGTACTGTACATTTATGCAAAGTGCCATTCTTAGCACTGACGATTAGAAAATCAAAATGTCAAACTCCGAAAACTGTTGAAAATGCTCTACGTCCTATCATACCAAATACTCCATCAAGATTTATTTTTTAATGTAAAAATAAACAAGCACATCCATTTTATTGGTATGGAAATTTCCTTTCATCTTTAATAAATGGTAAAACTGTATGTATGCTGCCCTGAGCTCCTCCAGGGAGATAGGGTTATAAATAAAGCTTATTCTTATTATTATACCAAACAACTGTTTCAAAATATTTTGTTATGATTTACTATCAGTAAATGTTTTATTTGTGTGTGTGTGTGTGTGTATATATATATATATATCACATAGATATCTGGGTTGCATTAAAAAAATCTCAGTTAAAAAGATGGAAAAAAGAGTGGAAAGGTTTAGGAAGCCCTGGTTGTATATACTCAACACTTTGCTGTATAGAATTACTCATCTAAAATGACTATTATAATAGCAATGCGAAGAAAAGGAAGTGGCACTATTTCTTCCTTTGCTTTTTTAGAAAACAAAAGTGCATTTTTTTCTGCAAAGGTGACTAATGGAAACTTCAAAGATGAAAAGCATAGTATTGAAGTGACAATTGCTCAACATCCATTTCTTTAAAAAAATAACAATTGCTTAATATCTTAGCAATTTAGATATTTAAAGGGCAAAGAGTTACATCTCAAGTGTCTGAAGGAAAGGGAGTACAATTTTAAAAGATGGAACACCAGAAATATAAGGAGAATGGTGACAGAAAAATAATATTAGTAGTCTTTCTGGAGGATTTTTTTCCTGCAGAATGCATGTCTAAGCATAAAGCATTCAAGAGAATGGAAATGGCTATGTGAAAATTGTCATTTCTAATATGGGTCTGTTCTGCCCTTCTCTGAAGTCATTAGTGGTAAGTATTTAACATAGTGTAGAAGTTAGTGATGAACTAACTGAAATATTTGAAAAACCACATCTCCGTTTACAAGCCAGTATGAGTGCTGTGGTCTGTGGAGGAGGCCTTCCTCTTGGTTCAATCCCCATCCCAAATATGGCTGGTGAGAACGAGAGAGGGGGCCTTCACCATGATCACTCCCCTGCTCTGGAACTCCCTCCCTAAAGAATAAAAAAATGTCCCCTCTCTCCTCTCCTTTAAAAAACTTTTAAAACATATCTATGTGCTTTAGCTTATGGAGAAGAGGACTAAGTACACCTTATATACACCACACCTTGTTGTGTTGAACATCTGCCTGAATGGAGTTTTAAAAGACAGGTCACAGAGGCCTGAATTGCTGTAAGAAGATTCTCAAGGTCTTGAGCTTGGGAAAGACTTTGTGTTGCAGTTCTCTGATCAGTTATCTAAGAATGAAGTTGATTTCAAGCTCCTAGGTGCAAATAAGTGACTAGTGAGAAATATTGCTTCAATCGATGCAACATTGGATTAACGTCAAGTTCCCAGTGTCAAGGTCTACCTAACTCATGGTTATTCTATGGAATACGCCTCTGTTCTGTTCATGGATTTAAGTGCCTTTGCTCCTGTTTTATTTATAAATTCAAGTGCCTAGTTTCATGGATGTTGCTGGACTCTTTGTTCCGGTTTCCTTTTACATCAATTGGATGACTTTTTTTTTTTTTTACTGTGCATTACTTTTTACTGCTTTGGGCTTCTTATAATTTTAAATAATTTGCTTGCTGATTTTCCCCAGTTGGTGTGGTGTATAAAGTCAGAGGTGACACCACCCTGAGATAGGGAGGGCTATTAATAAAGTATTATCCTTATTATTATTAACTAGGGTGGACTACATTGGGGTTCAATTTTTTGCAGAATTACAAAGCCCACTGAGCTACACATATTCTCTCTACTCTCTCCCAACCATATGGTTGCTGCAAGAATAAATGGATAAAGATGCCATAAACTGTCTTGAAATTTTAAGTATTTTAAGTGGACAAATTTAGTTATGTGGAGCTTTTGTTGATATTAGTTACTTCAAAGAATAATGAGTGATTTGTATCACTAGAGCCCTTTAAAAACAGCATTCTTCTGGGGGAAAAAAATCGATAAAGGAGGCAGCATCACCCAAAATGGAAAATATTGAGAGATGTAGATTTCTACTGCTAATGAAAGTTAGCCATAAATTGGTTTTAAAAAATTCTTGTTGAATTTGAGATTCTTTAAACAAGGAGAGAATCTTGTGGAATCTTTGTAGAAAATGTACCAGAGAGACACAAGCCTCAGTTATATCTCTAGATTGTTGCCAAGTGTTCCACAGAGGCCTGCCTTTGAAGAATATTCCAAATCAGAGTTGGTTCAAAATATAGGAGGCAGGCATTGACTGAATTTGTTTCTGGTTCAAATGTCTAAGTGAAAGTGATTTTTAAAGAAGGCTATAATTTGGAGCAAAGTCAACTAAAAAACTCATTTTCTTTTATATGAATTTGCCCACTAATGAGTATCAGAGGCCCTCCTATGTTCCTACATTCCAAATATATGTCTATTTTTAAATGGCTTCCCATAAGCTGATCATAACTTTTTTAAAAAATAAAGAACTTAAGGTCCTGGATGTTTCCTTTAGAAGTGGCTTGTACTGTATTAATATTGGTTTATATATGGTGAAAATATCGTTCACAATTATCCATGGTGTTTTAAAAAATCTCCCTCTAATTTTTTTAATGGCTGCTGTCGTCTACTTTTCTAACTTTATTTATTGTTTTTGCATGTATTGCTACATGAAAGGTGGATTGTATTTTAAATGCATGAATGAATAAATACTGCTTTTTGGACGAAGTACAGTGCAGAAAATTCTTCACAAAGTGTTAAGGCATCTTCATATAACAATTGGGAGAAATACAAAGATTAGTAGAGTTTCCAAGGTCTAAGATATATGCTAATATTTGTGCTTTGTTTTTCTTAGAACCAATTAGTGTCATGTGGAGGCTGTCACCAGACTAACAACCTGACAAAATGGTAGGATACTGCTGCAGTTATGTCATTGAATATGCCATACAGCTGAACATCCTTCTAGACTTCCCATGCCAACACACAAATTAATTGTCTGATGCATTCTGATTTATACATGGTCCTGGCAGAACTGATGGGGAGGATCCCAAAGCAGAGCTGCTGCTATCAGCTACTAGTTAAGCAGGCTCTTGGATAATATATAGAGCCTAGAGAAATAACACCATAGTGAGTAAATCATCAGTTCCTTGCTGTGAAATAAACATCAGTTCAACTTGAAAATCCATTTACACAATACAGCTTCAAAGTATGTTCCCAAAAGGATCTCAAAAATTATGTGTTGGTATATGCATCATTAAAATCTTCTTGCCCTTCCTTTAAGATGTTCAATCATAAATCCAAGTTAGTAAGAAAAGAGGAAACTACTACATTACAGATGGATTGATTAAATGGAGGAAGTCAGGGCACTGAGTTGGCAAGACCTGAGCAGGGCTGTTGATGATCAAGCAACAAAAACTCCTGTAGTCTAATGTGGGAGAATAAAATGCCAAATTCTGATAAATGAATGTACTGCTTAAGACACCAGGTTCACAGTTACCCAATCAGTGACTGTCATGTATTGGCTGAATAAGAACCCTGCCAACTCATTAATATACAGATAACATTGTATATCCCGTTGTTCTTCTTCATGGGTACCCAATTTGAGTGATTGTTTCCCTAAAATGGGCAAAAAAGGGGGAAATTATGAATTCGGTGGTTCCATGCCATAGCCAAATTATGCAATGATATAGTATAAACACTGCAGTCACTCATAATTGTCTGAGCTGGGCTTGTTTTCTAAAATGTAACAGAGTAAAATCATCAAGTCAGTACATATTTTTAAACCCAATATATTTCAGACCCAATTGTAATGGTTGAAATATCACAGGTAGAACAAATATATAGTACTGGATCCCTAACAGGCCCGTGATGAAAGAAGTCTTTCAATATTGTAATTCTTTTTAATGCAATTGTAAATGCTAAATTTGAAAAATACAATAAAAAATTATACTATACAGAGTTCTTTTCACAAATTTAATATACCCCCCTCAATTCAGTTGTTACTCAGTTTTGGTTAAGTATGGAAGCTGATGTTCCAGTACATTTTCTTTTAGTGCTTTTCAACTAATCAGTCATATACAGAGTGTTTCAAAATGATGGACCCAATTTCAAATCAGTATTTCACAATGTTACAATTACACAAAAAGTTACAGACAGTTTAATGAGTCATCATCTTATCAAGTTTTACTGAACATTTTAGCCGGGAACAAATCTAAAACATAACTCTGTAAATACGTCACATTTGGATTTAGAATGCCAATTTCCTATAAAACCTGCATTAAAAAAAATTATCCTTAATTTTGAGGTCTTGTAAAATCAACCTTCAAGAATGGAAGGGCTCTATTCCATCCCATTTGGTGGGATTCACCTGCAATAC